TTAACTGGTGGGATCGTAGTTACCTTTGTGCTGAAATACTTTCTTCAGGTGGGGATTCCTTATAATGATACTCTCCCCAATACGTCTCTTTCAGTTAGTGTTTTTATACCGGACGTTGATAATAACCAATCTTTGATCATTACCGAATTTTACTATAATAGTTTTCTACCATTAAAGGTGTGGTAAATTAGAAAAATTAGAAAAAACTATCAATTTTGAACACAGGCCCTGTTTTTTGTTCTCCATACTGAAAATCAGGTTTATGATTTAAATAATAATATTTGAATAGCTTTTAAAAAAANGTGTTTCAAAGTTGGCTGTATTTTGCATTTCGCTTTAACAAGCTTCTGGGATATGGTTTTACGCGCCAGGCTCTCCATTATCATAACTGTTACTTGTCAATGCCTTTTAAGTAAGCCATCTGACACGTAGGAATTGTACAACAACAGCAACTTGCACTTATATAGTGCCCTTCACGCAGGATAGCTTCTCAGAGCACTGCACAGTAGATAGTTTGTGAATATGCCTCTCGGAGACTTACTTACAACAGTAAATACAGTTGAAGATTGTAGCATTACTTCATTTGTGAGGTCTCCAATAAGTGGTTCAATATATGTATTTTAGTCTTTGTATATTAGTGTTATGTCTATATTTAATTCAGTTCAGGAAGTGCAAACTTTTAGTATCCATATTAGACGTAAATGTCTATACCAAGAGAAGTGGTATCAGTATTGGGACCACTGCTGTTTTTGGTTTATATAAATGACCTGGACTCGGATATAGAGAGTACAATTTCCAAGTTTGCAGATGATATTAAGCTAGGAAAAGTAGTAAACAGTGAGGAGGATAGTAGCGGACTGCAAGAAGATATAGACAGACTGGTAACACGGGCAGACACGTGGCAGATGAAGTTTAATGTGGAGAAATACAAAGTGATGCATTTTGGGAGGAAGAATGAGGAGAGGCAATATAAGCTGATGGTACAATCTTAAAGGCAGTGAAGGAACAGAGAGACCTGAGGGTTCATATAAGTAAATCTTTGAAGGTGGCAGGACAGGTAGATAAAGCTGTTAAAAAAGCATATGGGATACTAGGCTTTCTAATTAGGGGCATAGAATACAAAAGTCAGGAAGTTATAATGAACCATTATAAAACACTGGTTAGAAGTCAGCTAGAGTACTGCGTTCAGTTCTGGGCACCGCACTTTAGGAAGGACGTCAAGGCATTGGAAAGGGTGCAAAGGAGATTTACCAGGATGGTACCAAGAATGAGGAACTTCAGTTATGAGGAGAAGTTAGAGAAGCGAGGATTATTCTCCTTGGAGTAGAGAAGGTTAAGAGGAGACTTACTAGATATTTTCAAAATTATGAGAGGATTCGATAGGGTGAACAAGGAGAAACTACTTCCACCGGTGAGTGGGTCGGTAACCCAAGGACACCGATTTAAAATAGTTATTAAAAGAAACAGAGAGGAGGTGAGGAGAAATTTTTTCACACAGCGAGTTGTTCGGATCTGGAATGCATTGCCTGAAAGGGTGGTGGAACCCGATTCGATAATAGCTTTTAAGAGAGAAGTAGATAATTATTTGGGGAGGACAAGTTAGCACGGCTATGGGGAGAGAGTGAGGGAGTGGGATTGAATTGGATAGCTCTTTTCAAAGAGCCAGCACAGACAGGATGGGCCGAATGTCCTTCTTCTGTGCTGTATAAATCTATGATTCTATGAAGTGGTAAGTGCATTGCCCACTTTGGCCTTCACACTCTCCTGAGCCACAGGTTCCTCTGTACTGAGCAGGCACTTCCTCCTTGTCCTCTGTTCCAAGATATCAATGGTGATCAAAGGAAAGGAGTTTACTTAATTAATTTTGAGCTACACATGAAGTAAAATACCAGATGTCAAAGGTTCTATAAGAATTGTGACTCCTATCATTGCTGTGTTGAAATAATTATAGGTTGAAGTAACTTGCACATATATTATTCCAATGTGTATTATATAGTGCTTATCCCTAAGGTCTGGGACTGCAATGTCAGAAGCAATGGATATGAATTTGAAAAAGTAATGTAACACTGGAACAGAGCTATGATGTGAAAATATTCCCACCACATCAATGACAACCAATTGTAGACATTATTGGCTTTAGTGCATATATTTTGGAATTTCATGAGTTGCTTCCAAAGCATGTCCACAGCTCATGTAGAGAATGTACATGTCTGCAATAAACATTTTCATCTGTTCATCACTGATGCAAAATGGAGGAAATTCATTTTTAAATAATAGTAATAATATTATAATAATCTTGTGTTTGATATAGCACCTTTCACATGATGAGGATGTTCCAAAGCGCTCTACAGGATTTACCATGAAGTGGAGTGACTTTGTATTTTTTGGCGAACATGACAGCCCAATTGCGCACAGCAATATCCCATAAACTGTGAATGACCAATTTTATTTGGGAATTGTTGGCCAAGACACTGGGAGAAACTCACTTCATTTTCCGTGTTCTTTTACATCCATCTGAACAGGCAGATGGGACCTCAGTTTAACGTCTCCTCCAACGGACAGCACCTCTGACAATGCACCACATCCCCAGCACTGCATTGGAGTGTCAGCTTACACTATGTGAGTTCAAGTCCTGATGTGGGGCTTGAACCCATTATCTTCGAACTTAGAGGCGAGAGTGCTGACAAAAGGTTTGGGCTGGATTCCATTCTCCCATCCCTTGCCATTTTTTTTATTTTATATAATGTGCACAAAGCCCCCTTTTTCCTACCTTTTCAGTGCTAGTCAGGAGCAAGAGCCACTGACAGTAGAAGTCACATTGGAAGTAAATTTCCCATTTTATTTCAATGTCATTCTCACCAGCTCCCAGTATGTAACTGCTGCTTTAGGACATTGCAGGGTTGTAAACGTTTAGTTCAGTAATGAACTCGTAAAGCTGCTGAATATTTTGTATCCATGTATGTATTATTCAAGATAAACAATGTGCAGTAAATAAGCATAACTCACTAATACTGAAATTACATGTCTCTTAAGTTAACATGGCTAGGGTGTCTTTCATTTCTTTAGGACATGTCTGTATTAAGGAGCAGGTTGATGGACAAGAGAAACTGTTTGCAAACATTTTAGATTTAGAAAAGTACAGAAATATGTCCTATACTGCTAGCCAGTGTTTCTATTTGTTATTAACTTTTCATTTTATGGATTGATTACGTAACCTTATCAGTGCAGAGGAAATGAAACATTTGAAGTTTATATTTCCTTATTTCTTGTGCATGGAATGAAACATTTACCATTTCTGTCATGAATCCTGAACTAGGAAATGGCTAGTGCTTCCTGTTCCAATCAGAAACTGAGCAAAAATAAGAATTCACCGGGTTTAAATGTACGATAATGTTTATATTTATATCGGTATTGAATAACGCACAGAGGGTGAGGGGAAATTCCAAATTGAACCCTTCACAATATTCAATCCATTCCTGAGAGTTCTTACTTTAATAAAGAACAAATAGGTAATATTTTACATTGTTCAGCTGAGTCTCATATGGACCCAGTTAGCAGTGATTTGTTATCATCGTACAGTATAATAAATTCCAAAGCTCTTCATTTGGCACAAATGAGAAGATTACTGATCTCAGTATGTACACATTAATTTAATTGGTCAGCTAAAGTTCTTCAATCATTTCCCAGATCTCTTGAAAGATACTATTAAGTGAAGCAAGTTAAGCCATTCTTTTAAAAAAAATTCGATGAATAGTTTAGGCATTTGTTTTTTTTTAGAAAGAGTTCCGAATTTTCTAAACATCATAAGTTGCTTTTGTAAATTGACAATTGATCACGGTCAAGCAATAACCATATAAGATTTCTGAGAATCCACCGGATTGTTACCCACACTGAAAATTATGTATTAGTGATTTTCAGAAAGTTTTATGTTAAGAAAATTGGCTTTAATTTGAAGCATTTCTTAACGAGATTCCTTAATGAGGAATTTGAGTCACAAAAAGCAGAGCTCCTTCAGGTATCCAGAAATATGTCACATCAATCCATGGCAATTCCACTCTAATATAGTCTACTTCCAGAGCAGCATTCCCATGGGTTGATGGGAATTCTATAGAAATGTTGATTAAAAATATTTATTGCATTCTACCCTTGCAGCAAAGGATTTTTTTCTTAAGAATTTATTGGATTTCTGTGGAAACTGAATGTAAATAAATCTGATGGCAAAATGTGCATTTTGCAATTTTGAAACTTGTTTTATGATGCTATTTTCTGCCATGCTATAAACGGTAGCAAACGGGTTTGAATACCACAAATTAGACTCCCATGACTACATAGAATAACTTATGCTTTATCATATAAATATTTCATTTGCAGTAGCTTCAAGTGTATATGAGATGTATGTAGATGAGACTGCCAGCAAAAAAAGTGTTTGTTTTTAACCAACACACAAAAAATAGAAGAACCGTGCTGATTGAACTGTATCATGTCATCTTTTAACTTTCACTTAAGTCAAACATCTGTTGCTAGCATTTACTTCTTTACTAACCTCTGTTTGCTGTTTTATTTTGTTGCTTGAGTGTTACTGAGGTCCTGAAAGAGTTAACGTATCCACTGGATGTATGATTGCATTATAAAAACTGACATGAAGTGAGGTTTTGAAATGAAGACTAAACTCACAGAGGTCAACGCTAACTTCTCATAACTCCTTACGCCGTTTGCATCTTGTGGTTTAGCAGGACTAATGTACCCAGTTAGCACTACATTAAATTAAATGTTCCAAACACCAATTTTTGTACACAACTTAATCTGCATTTGTTACAGTTCCTTTAACCATGTTAAATGTTATTTTCCGTGTTTCATGCATTTATTTTTGCAGATGTCAAATTGTTCAAATTTATTCTGTTGTCTCACACCTGCTTAATTTGAATTGGTGCCACAAAATCCCAAACCCATTTGTTCTGCTTGTCATTTAACGTTTCACTTGCCTTTTCTTTTTTCTGCAGTAATAACCAGTAGTGGCTACAGTCCAAGAGGAATACACCAATATTCACCACAGCTTTATCCTTCCAAGTAAGTGTGATGTTTCTAAGCCAACCGTAGGGCAAAAAAACAATTCACACATGTATATAGCATCTTCCATGTTGGGAGGACGTCTCAAAAGAGCTTCACGCAACTGACTGAGAACCTAAGCCAGGGCAGGGTAGGGGAAGGTGATGGAAAGGACAGTCCAAGTGAAAGGTTTTGAGACAGGCTTTAAAAGGTGGGGAGAGAAGCTACGAGACAGAAGGAGTTCCAGGGAGTGGGGGCAGAATGTCTGAAAGCTCACTCATCGATGGTGTGGTGTATCAGGCTGGGTACAGGAAGAAGCCCAATGTTAGCTGAGTACAGAGAGAACTTAGGGTGGGGGGTGGGGGGTGGGGGAAGGTTGGAAAAGCTTTCAGGAATTTACTCATATGTGGATGTTCTGTGGAAACTGAAGTGTGACTAATTCTGAAGCCAAATTTATTTATTATTGCTATAAAAGAGAGCAAAATAGGATTCGATTTCACTAGAATAATAAAACCAGCTATGATGCTCTTTATAATCAATTGATGCCGCTAAGTAATACCGCAGAAGTGTTCCAGGAAAAAATCATCAAGATGTTGCTGTTTGTGATTCTGCTGTTGCAAAATGCTTTAATCTTTTGTAGTGGACAGCTTGACATCATCGGCTTTCTCTTCTCCTTAGGCCATACCCACACATTCTTTCCACACCAGCAGCACAGTCAATGACTGCTTATGCTGGACAAACACAGTATTCAGGAATGCAGCAGCCGGCAGTTTATACTGCGTATTCTCAAACAGGCCAGCCCTATGGACTACCTGCTTATGGTGAGACACCCACTTCTGTAATGGTATATGAGCTATTTAATGTGTAAAATCATTTTAGTTGTAATCTATTATCGAGAGAAGAGAGAAATGGAGATCACAATCGCGTACAATAAATTTATATTTATGTGAATGAAAGCGCGGTTAAAGAGGAAAGTCTTGAGAAGGACCTTGAAAGAGGAGAGAGAGGGGGTGAGTCAGAGGAACTTCACATGGAGTCCCAGAGAAAGCCTGACTGCCAATGGCGAGTCAGGTAGGGCACGCCAATGGCTGCTGAGCGGAGGGAGCATTCGGCTGGGTTGGTACAGTTTGAGAAGGGTTGCATAGGTAGGGTGGGGCAAGGGTGTGGAGGGATTTAAAGGTGAGGAAGAGAATCTTGAACATGATGTGTGTTTTATTGGTTTATCTGATTGTGTTGCTTTCAGGAATCAAAACAGAGGGAGGACTACCACAAGCACAATCTGCATTGCAGACTGGGTGCCTTAGTTACAGCCCAGGGTTTAGCACACCTCAGCCAGGCCAAACACCATATTCCTATCAAATGCAAGGTTAGTGTGTGCCGTTTCCTTCATCAATGTGCCCTTGTCACATTGATTTGCTTTTTGGCTTCAGTCATGTTATTCCTTATTCCAAATGGAGAGATATTGATTTTTAATAGCAGTTACATTCTCCAATTTCAAGCTCTCAGAATGATAATGGAGAGATTTAAAGTGCTATTGTGCTGACAGAATCATTCTGTAGCCTGATCAATTCATTTTCTTATATTTCTATGGAAACATTCCATCTACAAACTCTTTGCTATCATCTTTCAGTTATTTCCTCAACTTTCATTTTTTTACAAGGAAACTATACAGGGTGACCAAAAAGTCATGATACCATTACAATGTCTAATCAGTCTTAAAGAAATTGTGTGTTTTTTTAGATAATATGGTAGTTGTCATGACTTTTTGGTCAACCTGTATATCCCTGGAATTAGAAAGAGATTCTCATTATTCCTTCCCCTGTGTACTCTCCCCACCCATCTGCAAAACACAAAAATATATTCTCTGATTTGAATCATGTTTATTGCTCTTGTCTCTGTTTCTGTTGCAATTACAGCAAATCTCCTCCTGTTCACATTGGAGCTCTGGAGCTCCCAAGGGTTGGCATGACATAGCTGCAGGAATTTATATTTACAAATCTTTTTGGAATCCTGTTGTGAATCCCACATTTTAAACCCCTGTGTCATAAATACTGTTGGGCCAATTTAGTCTTGTGTTCACATTTCTGACAGTTATGAATATTTTTCTTCTATGGGGCCACAGTTCCCAAACTTTACCCAATTGCTCGTTCCTCATGTGTAAACATTGACTGGGAGTGTCCTTTCTGATCTGGACAGCTTAACTATTTGCTGGATGAACTCCCTGAGTCAATCAATTACTAGTTAAGAATTTGTTCTTGAAATATGGCAGACACTAGTAGAAAATAATATTTGTTATGCCACCAGTTAGACTTGTAAGTCTCAGTGATGGTCCCATCAACATTGGACATGATAATAAACAAATTCTAACATTTGTAATTTGGAAATCTGTTACAGTAATTCTGCCCAAAACAGGAATCAATTCTGTAATATACAATTCTCAAACATTTCTTGTGTATTTTTAACTCTGTAATTAAACCTTATTTATACTTATTGTTGCTTTGAAGAGTTTCACTGTTAAATAATAATGCTTCTTCTGACAGCTTGCCTCCATGTGAAACTGCTTCAAACATGTCAAAGCCCAGTAAGAAGCAAAATGTTTAGTACAGACTGGAAGACGCTGATGGTTGTTCAATTCACCTAATTGTTAGTGTTTAGTATTTCTATCACTATTATGGAACAGAGTAGCAATAAGCTGTGCAAATCAGAAGCTCAAATTCTGGTCTGAGCCAGCGCAGCAGTAGAGGTGCTACATTTGGTCTCAGCACTTTGTGGATTATGGAGGAGAAAATCAGCCATGGTTCCTGCTCCTGACTGTTATCCCGAGCTCCCTGCTGGAAATTGCGAATGTGTGGACTCAGCTGTCCACTGCTGTCCAATCCTGGGCTGGTGGGTATTGAATAGCCGCTTAAGTACTGTGAGGAGGGATGGCTGGTATCCAAGACACAGCGCTATTAGCAAAACCATCAGCACTTTCAGAAGAGGAGGAACAATTTTTTTTAACCTCGGCTAAAGTTTGAAAATTTCAGCTGCCAAAATGAGCCTGAGATGTGATTAAAATGTTTTGGTGTAAGAAAGAAGTTTATTTTAGTCTTGTATATAAAACAATATTACTGGCAGCCCTATTACTCCATTCTTTCGCAGTAGTTACATTTGGACCAGAACTTCCATCCAGAACTAATGAGCTCTGGGACTGTTGAACCAGAGTTGCATTATTTTGCCCTAAGTTTAGTCTCTTGCAAATTTGAAGTGTTAGGGAATTGTTGAAAGACGAGAGAAGCCAAGCCATTGTGGTTGTAAATCTAAAAGATATTTTATTAAATTTTCCAATTCCAGCTGAAGACTTAGGTGTGATATTGTGAACTTGAGCTACAAGAGATGCCCTGATAGATTTCATGCTCAGCATAGAAATAAAAAGTACACTGAAACAGATTTTCTTTAAGAAAAATTCAAAATTGGCATCTTGTTGATTTCAGTTTCTTTGGAGTTATGGTCCCAAAACTCGACTAATTTTTAATTAACATTAAATACCCAAAATACAGTATATCCTAATTCTGATCACTGTTCAGTTGGTGGCACATACAAGAGAATAACCTACTTAAACTGCTACCCAATTGCATCAGATAGGTTGTTGAGCACTAACTGTTGAATTGCACATAAGTTGACTGCACAGTAGTTTCTTGCACCAATCAGTAAAACTAGTTCATTGTGCTGCCTCCTAGCAAACCTGAGAGTAAAGAGTCTGAAACAAAACCAAAGCCTGACTCATTGTCAAATTCCTTGGGGTTTCCTCTTCTGACCACAGCAGCTCATTCTGGGGATGCTGCCATTCCAGGGTGGCAGTAAATGGAGGCTCTCTGGCACCTGAACCCTTCCTGTCTTGTGTGTCGCTGTGATTGGTTTTAATGCAAATGCCACTGTGCACTGCTGGAAGCTATTTAAAAAACATTCTCAGCATTGGAGGGAAACAGCATTGGTATTTCTGCAAACCTTGTTTGACACAGAAGAACTGCCACCCAGAAGTTTTTTTAATGTTAACGTGTTCCTAGCTTTTCAGTTACGCTAAGAATGTTCCCTTAAAAGTTATTATGTGAGCCATTGGACTGCTCAAGGAAGTTTTAAGGAGAGAATTTTGAGTGTAAGCTAAATTAATTCCTACTGTCCATTTCCAATGAGGCAGTGCACTTGATTTCTGGGAGAAACCAGCTCCTTCAACTGGTTGGGGGGAAAAATTTCACTGCAATTTTCTTCAAGATCACAAACCAAGCTCACCTTACACTGTTCATTTAGTGTTGATCTGGTGCTATTGCTGCACCAAATCAACACAAAATACATTATATGAAGAGAGAGTGAGAGAACATTTGGTAGTGATTTTCAAATAATTTTAACACTGCAAAGTCATATGAGTTCCAAGACTGAGAGTAAGGTTGTACCAGGATTACTTGATGTCTAGATCATTACACATTATGCTGTCCTTTTCCTGATGTATAGAAGTGTGGATTCGATTTTTGTCCCTTTTATTCTTTTCTGTGGTCTTTTGGGAGATGTCTTTAACCTATTACACAGATAGGCTATTACGCTTAGTACTTACACCTACAGCACTTACTGTGACAAATGGAAGTCTATGAGACGTTCAAGATTTCTAAATGTGCTGCTTCTTTTGATTATAGGTTCTAGTTTCACACCATCATCGGGCATTTATGCAAGCAGCAATTCAGTCTCCAACTCAACAAACTTCAACAGTTCCCAGCAGGTATGCACTTTTTTTCTCTCCCTAATTTTCTTCAGGATCTCTGTTCTTCTGAAGGGTCTGCCCTGTGTAACAGTGGGATAACCATCATCACCACTCTGCCCTCACATAAAAAGCTGTTGTTCATGCATGAGCCTGGACAGTGAGTGTCAGCAGTCTGTTATACTGCAGAATCCTCAAAGCCCAGCAAACACCTGCCCTCAACCAGGGAAAAATTCAACCCATGTTTAGACTCAGGCTGAATTACCATCCCCTGCCCCTGCCACATACACAGCTCCAGTAGGGGGGCACAGCACTAATCAGGACTGGGAACACTGGCTGATCTTTCTTCCCACCTCTCCCTATCCAAGGGGATGCTGTTTTGTATTTTTATCCAATATAATCTCAGTTTGGTGGGAAACATTTTCTTCTGGTTAATGCGTCATGTATCCATGCAGAGCATGATTTGGCTTAACTGAAGTTCTTTCATGACTTCCAGCAATGTTGCAGCACCTGCATTGATATATGACCGCACAGTGTTAAGCAAATAATTACAGGTGAAATCCAGAAGGTGTTGCTTAAAGCTGCCTGTTGCTGTTTTAGGATTACCCTTCCTACACTGCATTTGGCCAAAACCAATATGCACAGTATTATCCAGCCTCAACATACGGCACATACATGACCTCAAATGATACTGATGGCACCTCTTCGTCATCAACAACATATCAGCTGCAGGAACCTCCCACTATCACAAGTCAACCAGCCACAGATCTACCTGGAGGTAATGAGCTTCCTTTTCCTCTGTAACTCTATAGTCAGGAATTCCACCCGAGTCTAGATTTAATCTTTTTATGAGGCAATTTAGAGCATCCACATTTTGACAAATTGTTGAATCAGTCTTAACTCGGAATTCTATTTTCTCTAGTTTTAAAATAACTTACAGAAAACCGGCTTCAGAAAGAAGGCTGTATTTTAGAATTTGCTACTTTTTGGACGCTCTGAAATGATACATAAGTAGAATAAATTTAGACTAAGGTAGAATTTCTCTCCCAAGTTGGCATTTCTAAATGATCAATGCTGCTCTTTTGACAAAGATGGAATGTGTCTGGTTTAAGTTAACCCAATAACGGATCTCATTTTTTACTCATTTCTTTTCATACTTTTTAAATTTAAATGTCTTCATGTTATTTTTCAATGCTACAATGGAGGCAACTGTAACAATGGCAGGCAACGTGGCTTGAATCAATTTACCTCTCATATAAGATCCTAACCATTGAACTTTGATGGATTTAATTTTATTCTGATTGATAAGTTGTTGTGGAGTGGGAGGGAGTTCCAGTGGACAAGAATGTGTGTATTTTATTTTGTGCAAAGTTTAAGGTGCAAGTTGGGTTTTGAAGGTATAAATGGGGGTGGGGGGAAGAGCAAGAGAGAAAAAAAGAGAAATTCAGCAGTTTAGTTTACACTGGTCAAAACAATGACTTCACCACTGATTGCTGCACTTGCTCCTGAAAGCAGAAGCCTGTATTTCTACAGTAAGACTCACACAAAGGCCGTTAGTCCCTCACATTGGGATTTAGTTATAAATGAGTTCCAGTTGGGATCCAAGTCATACACTCAACTATGCACAGAGAGGCATTGGGTTATGGGATGTAACCAGAAAAATTGTCTTTGGTACAAGTAGATAGAAAAGCACACAGGACAATAAGCACGCTGTTGATAGATTTGTATGGTTCTTTTTTTATTATATGGTGTGTGATGTTGAGGCTTAGCCATAAAGTGAATAAAGCCAGGTTGACTTAAATAGAAGCAGGTTTTCAATTTAGTAAATACTGCATGAGCAGCAAAAGCTGTCTGAAAACTTGTGTTGTTCAGGGTTCAACATCATCATCTGCGGAATAACAGTATGATGTGTTTGTTTTGTTTGAGAGTTCTATAATCGGTGATAGGATTTTATTCAAATGTTACTGTTAATATATTTTCATAGTTAAAATAGATCATAAAACGGCTCAAGCATCAGAGCCATTCACTGTTTTTCAAAGCGCCTTATTTTATTTTCAAGGAAGGCAGAACTTTCCATTCACATTGCAGTGTGAAAAAAATGGCATTTTCTGTATTATTCCAGTTGTGACTGTTGTGATAGCAGGTATTTGAACTCTGATATCAAAGCTTCCTTGAGAAAGTGGAACATTCTTGAATCTAAAGTCTTTTTTTCCAGTTGTCTTTGGCAGCCTTACAGGTTTTTGATTAAGAAAGCTTATCATTCTTCTTCAATCAAGGACATTTTTCTTTTTCCATTCCAGAGAGTTAGACTGTTTTTCATTATTGAGACATAACAATAAGTGCTTTAAAACCTGTTCTGTTTCCTGTTAACATTTTTCTGTAACACCCTTCAGTTTCACTCACTAAACATGGGTAATTATGTGGGATTCTTGGTCTGCGTGCTCAGCAGTTACTCTTACTGCCCTAGATGCCCTTCGAGTGTGATCTGCTCTCGGGTAAGAATTGTAACAGAGAAAATACTGATTCTGAACAATTTGGCTTTGGCCTTGTAGGACTTTCCCCAAAAGATCTTGTGTTTGTTGACTTTAGTTTAACATTTTTAGCCACTTTCATTTTGTCCACAACCTTACACTCATTATCTTGCTTTATAACCAAACTCCATTGTCGCCTTTCCAATGATCCCTTTAGAAAAACGAGCAGTTTTTTTTTACCGCAACACTAACTATTTCAATCACTGGGCTTAGAAGGTAGATTTGGAATCTTGGATTACCCTATTACTACATAGAGATACCCTTACAATATATATAAGCCACATGGATCTGAATGTAGACAACCATATGTTAAGGTTTTAATCCTTAGAAGTACCCAATGAGCTTCCATGCATAAAAATAACAGTATCTAGAATGGGTGGAGTAAAAATACATTTCTCACAATCTATAATTTGTTGTACCAATTTGGGTTATAATTTGAATTTGTGCTTGACTTGGTGCCTCCCAAGATTTTCAAATAGTCAGTGCAAATGTGCGGTAAAAGAATACAATGCTAAAGCTCCACTTCACAGAGCTTTAATAGTTTGTCCTGTGGTAACAGTTAAATAAATATCCTCAACTGTTTGCTTTTTTGTGTCTGCTGTATTTTGTATATGCAATTATTCAACTACTGTCAAACCCATTGCCATGCACTTCTCAGCACTTGTTTTGTTACGGCTGCAGTGTGGGCTTGTGTGAGGCTCTCGTGCCTCATACACAGAAACCAGGGGCCTCTCTAGTTATAGGCAAACTAAGCAGCTGCCTAGAGTGGCAGATTTCTGGGATTTGTTTTTGAATACTTGACCGGCGAAGTTGAAACGGGCGGGGCTGCAGTGAGTGCTGCGTGGTTGTGCCGTCTATAGCTGTTTTAAGGTAAATTCATCTCTCTTAAGTTAAAGCTATCAAGCCTCTAAAGGGATAGGAGGGGAGCAGAACACTGAGGTTTTGCAAAGGACAGCAGATTGTCTTGAGCGGCTTCTGGCAAAAACCCTCAGTGTGATAGCTGTAATGTGAATGGTCGCTTTTACAGGGGAGTTTGATACAGTGCAGAGTCCATCAACACCAATCAAAGACATGGATGAGCGAACATGTAGGAGTTCAGGGTCAAAGTCGCGGGGAAGGGGCAGGAAGAACAATCCATCACCACCTCCTGACAATGACTTGGAGGTAAGCCCTGACTTTAATTGATGAAAGTTTAAGATAACATGAATTTTTCAGGGAATGGATGGCAGGCATGATTGTGTTAATTGGATCTAAAAGATGAAGTGATCTTTCCGAAACTGTGCTACACAAAGCAATTTTCTTAAATCTATGCGGGAAAACTGCTATGTGAGGCGGTTTTGTTCCTGACAGGTGGCCCTGGTCAGGCACAATGGTGGGACCATTCCAAACACTTCCAAATCTATACTATTTTTCAGGACTTGTTTTTCCCTCTTTAGCAAAAGGAAGCAATTAAAGTAAATTAACCTCCAGCAGCTGCATCATGGGGATATCTCAGCCGCTCATCCATAGAACCATAGAAACACGGACTCAGTTGGAAGCCATTGGCCCATTTTTCCATCTTAGTGTTTGCTTTTGCATAAAGCCATCCATCTTAATCCCAGTTCTCTGCTCTTTCTCCATGGAGTTATTTATGTTACTGAAATGATGCATTTAACACTGCACACAAATAACATTTCATAGCATTTTTATTAAAAAAAGGTGTATTTTTCATGACCATTTTATGATGATTGTTTTTTCCCCATTATCCTACCATGACAGATACAGTGGGCCAAATGGCCTTCTTCTGGGCTGTAAATGTCTATAGTTCTATGGTCTGTACCATCTGAAAATTCTAACAGGGGCCCTCTGAGAGGAATGTTACTAAATATATTAGTTAATAAAGCAGTGTCACTTCACCAGAAGAGTGTTCTACCAACCTTTTTACATTGCCTCACACAAGAAGCAACATGGGATTAGTGATGATATGACATTCTTTCCATGACTGTAGCCATAGGAAAATAATTTATTTTTATACAAGTGGAGATGGGGCTGCAAACAGAACATTGCAACTATTCTCGCTGCACCACATACTTTCCCAGTGAACAATATTGGAAACAAAAGCGGAGTTTTCAGAAATAGGTTATTCCTGCCTGTCCCAGGAACTCAGCCCAACCAAAGGAGTTAATAGTCCCTCTTTAACCTATCTCCTGATTTCAGCCAGCATGCTCTTTGCACCATTCAGTGCAAATCAACTCATTCAGGGTAATAGCACAGATAAGTATACAAGACAAAATAAAAATTACCACATACTAAGCTGCTAAGTTTGGATACTGACTGACCTAAAAAACTCAGTTACTTTTTCCCTCGGTTTTCCTTCTTATCCATCAGATGGATTGGTCTCAAACCTGATGTTCATAAAGGCTTTCCCGCCACAATGAAATAATGAAAGGTTCTCTGTATGAATGAGTAGGAAGTCCCTGCAGAGTGTAATGTAAGCGATGATCCTTTCTAATTGCAATGTTTGCTGACATAGAGAGAGTAACATGAGGAGAGTAAAGGAGAACAATTTTCCTATGGTTACAGTCACAGGCAGTGTGAAGAGAGTAAAGGAGAGAAAAGCCCTTTGGTGGTCAACGGCGATGAATAAAATAAGAATTTCTATTCCCATTCAATACTATAATAATAGTAATCGTTACATTTCATGTCAGAGGACTTTTCAAAGGATTTACTAGAATTGTGACTATGTTTTATAGGCAAACTTAACAAATGCCAAAAGATATTATGGCAAAAAAAATGAAATTACATTGATCTGTCATACCCTGGTTTTGCAATGAAAGAAATCAGGAGGATTAACCTTATACCATGTATTTGGGATGGTGCAGACAGCGACGGTCTCTCCCGAGACATTTATTAAAACATTTTTAAATCAAACACAGAAGAAGTAGGTGAAAATCCCAATTTCTGCTTAAATTCTTTACATCCCACAAGTGGTTGGATAGCCAGGGTCTGTGGATCTACTGGATTTGTCCAGGTCAGTTATGAGCACCAGTCCTCCTTCACAACCTATTGTAGCTGCTAAAATGGTGTGATCTGCACGGATCAGTTCAGACTTTTGGATCCATTCAGTTGGTTTGAATTGGCATAAATTGAAATTCTTTATTTTGTAACATGAATGAGTCATTTTCTTGTTTCCAATTCCCAAGCTCTTCTGAACATTGTGAACTACACAGGTGAGGAGACTGATGGTAATAAAGAGCACTTGAAGTCACAGCCGTGAGGCAGTTTATAATGTGATATCGCATTGGGGGATTTTCTGCTCCTGGAGAAGCTCCCAGGATAACATCTGGGGAGGAACATCCCCACCTCTGATTTGGTCTTAGATGGTTTTGCCCAAATCCACTTTTGGCAGCCATTGAGCCAGCTGGCAGCATCCGTGTACATCCCAGCATTTCAGTACCAGTTTGTGGAATCCTAATTACATTTAACTCTCAAAACATCGATTTAATGCAACTCACAAACCAGCTCTGAAATGGTGCAAACCGCGAGGCTGGAGCCTCACTAACTACAGCAAATGACATGTGCTGTGGGAATGTATTTGATGCAAGACTCCCTTTTATTTCTGGTGGCATCATCACATAACATTACAAAAAGATTGTCCGTTACTTTGCAAACAGAGCAAGGGCCCTTCAGGATTCCTGCTCAGCTGGGCCAGTGTTGTGGTATTCTGTGTTCTCTTGTGTAATCAGAATTACACACGCACATTGCTTAACTGAGTCAGAAATCCTAGGCATATGTTGCTAATTCAGCTGCAATCCATTTCCTTATTAAGAAAGTGAAAAATCAAGTGAGCCATTGCCAACACTGAACTAATTCACATTCATTCCTAGCACTTCCCTCCCAACATTCTCTGTGTGTGAAAAGGACATTACTGTTTACTGCGAGAAATGTGAGCTGGTGTAATAGGAATCGCATCTGATAAATGTTTTATGTTTATTTAATACATTCAGCTGACCAGATATCCTGGTTTAATAGGGACTGCCCCACTCTCCTTTACTCTCATTGCTCCAAGCAATGTTTTCAGTACTGCCTACTTTTCTAATTTTACAATTGTTTTTAATTCAACAGCAACCAAACGCTTGTGTATTTTTTTCAAAAATGGACATTTATGTGTCGTTCCCACCAAACTGCACCAGAGACTGGACTTCTTGTAGTTAATTTCTTACCTAATCTATCAGATGAAACTCCCTCTCAATCCCTTTTCTTCTTTTTCAAGTAAATAGTGATCCAAGTTCTCAAGTGCTCAAGGTTACCCAACTCCTCAAAACTAATCCTTACGCTGCCCAACTTCCCAACTAAACTTTTTTTTGGTCAGCCAGGTGTCTGACGCATATGGAAACCCATCACTGTGCTTAAGAGTATCCAAATCAAGCTGAGAGTTCCATGCATCCCACCTACACATGGAAATGCCAGAGAATGATTGTTGGAATGGAATGCGCACCCTCTCCCTGGAGGGATATATTCTACTTTCCTAGTTCCATAAAGTATTAGGTGCAGGTTGGTAAGAGCCAAGGCTTGGGGACCCCAGACTGTGCGTTGGAGTCTAACCATAAAACCATATAGCTTGCCATTGATATCGCTGTCTGGCAAGCTTTCCCGCACCCCAGCGGTTAGGACTTTGGTTTGTAAGGTTAACAGGAGCTAAGTGGGATGACTCCCTGCCCCCTATGACTGGTCTACCCTTCCGGGTCCTGCCAATGAGCTAGGCTGGCTGTGCAGTCATCAGCAATGCCCTGGAATACTGCGGACCGCCTGGCTCAGCGAGACCTCCACACAGGGCTGGCTTGATTCCGACATTCCGTTGCCAAGCATGTCACCTTGGACCAGTTCAGCTCCAAACAAGGAGAACTAAACCTTACACTCCCAAGATACAACTGAGGTACATAGCATTGCAGCAAATCAAAAATCTCATCTGCTTTGATTACTAGATATTTCCCTGGGGTTCTGAGAGTAATTCCATTCCCTTAAATTGTTGAATTGGCTTAGCTGCTGTAATGGCTCCTCAGCAGACTGTACGCAGCCCAGCAGTGGTCTCCACACTTCCTAACAGGAATAGTCAATTGGAACAATTGGTACCAGTACCAGTAGTGCAGTTAAATAAATTGTGTGGAATTATCATTTTATTTATTACGTGGGAAAACTGTTGCACAGCTCTTAGCGGGAGTCATGGCTTGCTGAGATTGCTGCTCCCGGCCATAAACAATATGGCAGTGACTCAGCTACATTAGCTCCTTTTTTGTTTCCACTCTTGTTTTCTCGATGCTTTAATGTCCATTGGGTCAATAGGAAGATTGGTCTGCTGGTGCCACAGCCGAGGTTCCTTATTGATCCTTGGTGGTAACTGACTCACTGTCACTGTGCCTTGTGTAGCACACTCACCTTATGTATGTACAAGTAGTCTGCTGTTATTAATGGCTTTACTTCACCTTAACTGAGCACAAAAAAAATCTCACTGCTACAGCTTTGTCCTATTCCTTTTTTGTTTTTTAACCATACCAGATTGGACAGTTTGAAAATTTCTTTTCAAGGTTAGTTTGATCAATGTTTGAAAAAGAATATTAGAGAGTATGAGAGACGAACAGGAGAGTGAGATAAATTAAGTGCCATATATACGGAAAAGTAACAGCTTTTGATGTTGATGAGCCAACTGGCTGTAACATTCAATGATTCTCTGAATTGCAAATACAGTAAATAGAAATTATTACAGTATTTAACTGTTTGTTTATTCCTGCATTTACAGCGAGTATTTGTGTGGGATCTAGATGAGACGATCATCATCTTTCATTCACTGCTCACAGGATCGTATGCACAAAAGTTTGGTAAGGTAAGAAGTTAACCCAACCGTGCAATTTACTTTCTGTTTCTGCACTTAATAAAAAGGGCTTTGTTGTTTATGAGAAGTGACAACCCCAGTTCTCCATTTCTCAATTAATTTCCTTTCTACTTCCCCAGTGTACTTCCCCAGTGAGATTCTGTGTTTTAATGCAATGGCAAACATTTGGCAACACGGACTGGAGTTTGCAGCCAAGTTGTGAACTTTTGTTATTGTTCCAACAGATAAGAGGCTACTTCTGACTTGGACAATTTATGATACTGTTGCTAACACTGAGATTAAAAAACTTCATACCATCTCACTAGATAAAGCACAGACAATTTAATACGTTTTCTTCTATAGAAATGTAACCATCTGATTTTGGTAGTGGAATTTATGATTTTTAAAGTACCTTTTAAGAGTCTCTTCGAGTTTGATGTCTGCAAATTTAGGTGCTGCAAAATTGCAAATAAATGTCCTGTTTTGGAGCATCTAAGCCATATTTTACAAATATATTCAAAACAAAATATAATTAGTTCCAAGGACTTAAGGTTTTGTTTATTTTAGTGCTGCTTTTATGGCATGTTTTCCAAAGTATCAGCAGGAGGGGATTGTAGATTAAATTTTAGCTTTGGTTCCCTTGCAGGAAAGTGTGATCCTCGCTCGGGCAAGTGAGATCCCTGTGTGATGGGGTGGGACATGGTGGGGACAGTGCTTTAGAATTAACTGAGATTTGGAGGATCTGTATACTATGATGTTTGAGTCTTGTTTACACTACAACAGGTAAAAATCATCAAAAAATTGTATTAGAACCAGGAACAAGCAATGCTGCCAGTCGAGCGATTTATGTTACAGTCTTTGTGACTGTCGTGTGTATTCATCTCCCTCTCCTCATTGCCTCGATTTATGAATTTTTGATCTGTATAAAACGTGAAACCAATGAGCCTCTCTGTCGAAGTGACTGAAGTTTTAATGAATATTGTATGCCATGTTTTTACCTACAGTTCTTTGTCATACTTCACAGAGAACACTAGGTAGAAACCTCACTGCGTAACAGTCAGTTTCAGATTTTGGGGTAGCCTCGAGAGCGGAGGTCTTACAGGTCAACGTGACATCTGGATACAAATCTTGTGAGAGTCCAGCTAGCAAATATTGCGAGTTTGACACTGGTGGAGCTTCTTTATTAATGACTGTTGTTAATAAGCTGTAGGTCACTGACCCACTCTTGGAAGTATCCAAGATCACAAACACATTGACCCCAATTGACTGCTGAACCGAGCTTACACGTTAGCCAGCATGAATCTTCAAGATGTCTGATGTGACAAGCTATTGACCTCAGATTTCAAGGAAAGTCTTTGGCCAGTCTCCCAGGATGGTTGATGTTACTGATGCAGTGTTCTGCTTTCATTTACTGAGGATACTATGAAGGCAGTCTTCAAGCTGACTGATGGCTGAAACCTCCTCCACTTGCCAGCCTGATAGCAACGTGTGTGGAAAGCCAGACACACAGTGATACTCTCCAGTCAGCACAGGGTTTTGACTTCCTAGATATAACATCCACCTGTATCATCCTAACAAAACCAGATCATTCTAAATGTTCTTGTGGAGAAAGAATTGGAAAGTGAGATTAATCAATAAAGGGTGATTTATAAAAACAGTTAACAGTGGCACAGACACAATGAGATGAATGGCCCCTTCTTGTGCTGAAATGTTTTTGTTTCATCGGGTTCTAAGCTGAATACATCGCTTCATTTTAAAAAGCAATGTAACTGTATCAACCTTCATTTAGTTTTTCTCAGTGTTCAGCTGCTGAATGAGTTTCGGATAAGAGAATGATCCTTTCAAACCATTCAGAACATTCTGCTAGAAGTCACCACAGTTCAGCCCAGGTTTTCTTAATGCGTAGATCTACTGTGGACCTCACTATACCAGAAGCAAACAGGGCATATCCGGCTTCTGGCTGGCTAGTCAGCGTCCCATCCCAAAAAATATTCAACTTCTGGGATATCAGGTTGCTGCTGACGTCACTTCCTTCCCAATATGCAAAGGAAACATTGCTGATCTCATTTTCTGCATACTGCCTGTGTGCAGGAAGTGCCTTACACTTTGTTACTTTGCAAAGGAAGTAACAACAGCAGGACTTCATACCCATAGTGCCCAAGTACAACATGCAGGAAGTGATTCAGCTGCACAACATGCAGGAAGTGATGGCAGCAGCAACTTATTTTCAGCCACTTAGTTTGAATTGAGGCCTTCATAAACAGACGCCTGTGATTCACCTGTCTACTTGCAGAACCAAGTTGTGTGGGGTAATTCTAAAAAACAAAAACAGACCGCAAAGACATTGGGGAAGCTAGTTTTAGTTTAGTTTATGGATCCAAATCATGCTGTAAAAACACCCCTGCTTGTGTCAAACATTTCCCTCCCACACCTCTAAGCTGAATAAGATGGCTGCCACATTTTTCAAAATGGTTGTCTGACCTGCCTACGTTTGGTAGTATCCTGACACTCGTCTTCAATAGAACTATGCCTGCGGATACTGACTGATTATGCAAGTGAGTCAGACGAGAGCCAAGCGAAATACACCTTCAATTGTTTGACTTGTTTGTCTCTCTAAGGTTTTTGTGTTATGGGCAATATACACTCACAGGGTTCTTTTGTCCTTTAATTTTGTGCTGGTGTCATTTTACCAAAGCACTCAGTATGTTTCTATTAGCTCAATGTTATATTAGCAAGGTCATACAGGGTAAATTTTGAGAAGAGGAGTAACTTAGATTGCAAATTCATGGATAGAACTGAGGGTCTAATTTTGTTACTGAGAGGCTCAAAGGGAGTTGATATCTTTAATAGGGCAACAGTAACAGTCACCTTTCGTGAGTGAGTCTATGATTCTTACTGAAATGGAAAATCAAGATCTCATTCTTAGCTGTAGAAAAACTGGAAAAACAGAGTCCTCCTTACAACAGTGGAATATAATATACACTAAATGCAGGGATCATTATAATAATACCTAAGGATGAAATTTGTGGTGTTTCATAATGCATTCAGTGTGAAATTATTACATAGAATGAATTATGAACAGCCACAAGTTTCACCCAATTATGTAGATGGTAATAATCCTTGCATTTGATATAGCACCTTATTATGTCATCAAAATGCTTAATAGGATACACTGTAATGTGGAGTGTCTATATATTTTGTGGGAGAATGAGGCAGCCATTTTGTGCATGGCAAAGTCCCGCAAACAGCCATGGAGTGAGTAACCAATTGAATTAAATATCAGGGAAGACTGTTTCAGATGTAGTATACAACAACAACAACACATTATATTTGTATAGTGCCTTTCATGTCAGGATACAGGAGTTTACATGTCTGATATAATTCAATTGGTAATGAAAATTTATTCTATTAACTATTCTTCAGTCGTCTTAAGAAATGTTTGTGATTCTTTTTTTTAAAAATCCACAAATGAAGTACTGTCCGTCCTTCTTGTGGTGGTTTATTGCTTTCTGACAGAGCCAGTAAGCCTGCAGGAGACAGCTGTAAAACTTACAAATCCTGTCACTGAAACAACTACAGAAATACGTGAGGTTCCTGACATTGGCCATAACCCACAATGAAAACCCTGGATCGTATGTAAGCATCCGGCACTCTCCCTATTTGCAGAACAGTCAGTGAATAACTGGGAGAGTATTTACACAATCTGGAATTCTGTATTTCTCCCGTTGAAGGGAACAGCTTGTCACTACATTGAAGAGTCTGTCACTAAATTGAATTGAACTGAGAGTCTAACCCCTGGTCACAGATGGAACAGTTGCCTCCGCCACAGACTGCATTCCCTGAGGAATAGTGTACTCCATCTGGCTGAACCTAGCAGTTACTTCTTAAAAACCACTGAAAGTTAACTAGGGAATTCTAAAATTCCTATCTTGTGGCTCACTGTTACAAGACAAAAAATAGAAATATATATATAGTATATGTTGTATAAAAATACACCAAATTAAGAAAATGATAAGGATGATAAAAGTGGAAAGTGCAAATATGGTCCCAAACAATAATTAATCTTAATGGTAACATGAATTCCTAAGAAGACCCACATCAAATCCAGACTAAAGGATATCTATAAACCCTTTTCTTCGACATGTGGATGTACAGAGTAACAATATGATGGAGCATTAAAATTTCACTTAAAGGGAAAGTACATTTAAATTAATTGGCCATTGCTGTTAATTGTGAAGCGAGATGCAAGTACTGTACATGTAGTGGTGTCACTCGGTTGACCTTGTTATCCTGTTTGATGGTCTGGAGCAGCTGGTTTGGAAGTGCTGTCCACACTTCACTGTCCCCATTCAGGAGGTAACAGCAAAAGGAGGAGTCTGACACGCATTTCTCTGCCCTGGGTAGGGACACCCAAATTACTGTATTCTGTTTTTGTTTCAAAGTTGACTATTTCATGAATTTCTACAACTGCGTTAATTTTTTCTAAAAAGCATTATTTATTTTAAATGTCAGGCAACAACAAGATTACATTTGTGTAGCGTCTTTCACGTCGGAAGGACGTCCCAAGTCGCTGGACAGTGTACAGCATTTCAGACCCGAGCTGGGGTCGGGGGGGGGGGGGAGAATGGAGGGGAAGGGAAGGGGGGTGGCCGATGGCATGGTCAAAGAGAAGGGTCTTGAGGCGGGACTTGAAGGAGGCTAAGGAGGGGGTGAGGCGGAGTGATTGGGGGATGGAATTCCAGAGGTTGGGGTCAGAGTGGCTGAAGGTGGGGCGGGTGGGTCGGGGAACGTGGAACAGGCCGGTGCCAGCTGAGCGGAGGGAGCGGGCAGGTTGGTAGGGGGTTAAGAGGTCGCAGAGGTTCTTTACTTCATATGCCTCTGTTTACGTAGCAGTAAGTAGGAGCCTGGTTGTTAGTTGATTGGCTGTAATCGCTTGCACCATTTATAATTTGATCACTCGGTCCATAACTGCTGGGACACTGGTGTGCCCAATTGGCTGCCACATTTCACCC